TCTTTGAAGGTCCTTCGATGTGAACAATCTGAATATGTCGCGTACCAGTACAATTGTAATACAGGTTCATCATAAGTAAGTCGTAGAATGAAATGATATGAGAACCTAGGGTCTCGGTGTAATTAACATCTTTGGGTATCATAGTAAGCTTTCCTGAACCGTTGACAAAGCTATAAATAAGAAAATAAATAGAACAATAATAATAAAAGTTTTGAGTTTGTCTATCTCTCTATAAATACAATGTTTACCTTGAAGCTCCGTAGTGCATTATGCTGCCGTAATCGTACGTTAAATTATAGTTGTTATTGGTATCCGTCGTCCTTGCTTCGAACTGGCGAAGGTGGCTGCACTGAAACTAGCTACAATATTTTATGCTTTCGGAGGCATTCACAATTCTTACATTGACATTTTCTTTGATAACTGTGACATATAGGTCACGGTCGTGTCTCGTATGCGTATGTGAGAATCCGAGCGCATGACCAATTTCGTGAGCTGCGGTTCCAACCTATTACAATGGAATAAAAAGTAATTACACCCTAATGAATTCAGGAAATCGCTGTGCTTATTTTTTTTTGTTATATTTGTATTTTTAAGGAAATTGTTGCATCACCCTGAAGTTTTTGAAATCGGTACCGTTTCACAGCCGTCGCCGAGGGAGATTAGCTGCCACCCTTTGTGCCTGCCGACCTCTGCCCAACATCCATTATGCTTATACACAAGGATCATATCCTCAGCTAAATGAATGACATCGATTCTTCCTTGACATTTGAAATTCTTCAATTTTACATTCTTCAGCTAGATCTTCCATGAAGTCAATGCACGTGTCGTTCATCCATAAATACGTTGGCATTCTTGAATGCCTCTTTGGTCTTGTTATCTTAAAATTATAAGAAAGATTTCGTATCTTCTCCGTGCATGTAATGATAAGAACGTATTAGTAAGTGACCTAAAGTATTGTCGAGTGTGTAACTGACGACATGTGGCCATCTGTTACCAGGGTAGGTTTTATCATTGAGAGCTTGTCGTTTGGGTCGACTCTCGCTATCCTTGGCAACTTCTTCCTGTTGTTCTCTGAATGCAGTGCAATTTTTTTCAGTTATGATTCGAGAAGTGAAGCAAACTTTGAAAGCAGCATATCCCCTTGAAATAGTTCGACCGCAACTCCACTCTTTACGTTGACATCTTCAATTGATCCTTTCGTGCATGAAGTTTTATGTTTTCTCGACTTGCGTGACTGAAAGTACCAGCATATTCATGCCTACTAACACTCTTATTACCTTAGAATTGTTCTGTTCCAAAGTCTCATGTGTAATAAACAATGTGAGACTTCAAAATTTTATTGCAAAAGACTCAAAACTTTCTACAAAAGAAATTGCAAAATGTGTGTTTGCAAAAGTTTTGCAAAAGTTTAGGCCTTTTTTGGCGAGCTTTCGGCGCTTAGCGCCTTTGTCAAGCCTGAAATGAATAATTAGA